AAAAAAAAAAAAAAAAAAAAGAAAACATAGGAGTGTCTTTGTAGTAGTTTTCTATGTCTTGCTAACAGAAATCACTGTAGTCAGTTCCTATTTTGGAATATGAGTTAGCCTTCCTGCAGCTATCTGTGAACATGCATTAATACTTTAAGCAGGAAAAAAAAAGAACTTGGAGCCCACTTTTTCGTGGCTGATCTGCACAACAGCATGTTGCAGCCAAAAAGGGTATGGTTCCTCGTCCTAATGATACTATGTATGGTGGTGTTTGAATCTGAAAAGATAGTTTCTCATTTATTCGGCATTATTCCTCATGCAGTTATAAAGAAGACGATGACTTTGAGACTGACTCAGATGACCTCATTGAAATGACTGGAGAAGGAGCTGATGAACAGCAGGATAATAGTGAAACTATTGAAAAGGTCTTAGATTCAAGGCTGGGAAAGAAAGGAGGTATGTGAAGACAACACTTCATTTTTGCCATAGGTGGCAACAGATGTTATGGCAGGGAGTCCAGATGTTTAAACAGGAATAGAATTAAGGATCATCATTGCCTCAGGCACAAGGAACAGCTTACTTTTTGCCAGATTTCTTAATGCCACCTGTGGCCAGGGACCCTTCCCCTTGGCCTTTGCTTTTAGCTCCTTGAGTTACTTCTTCTGCTTTTTCTGTTTCTGCTTGAATGCTTCACCTTCCTCGTCCATCTCCTTAGCCTGATCCTTGGGTTGCTTCAGGGGCTTCTTGACACCTTTGTGGCCAGACATGACACCTGCTGCCCCTTCCCTGCCATTGGAAGCTAACAAATTACTTTTTATATCTGCTCAGTAAGGCCCAAATTTTATGTATTGAGCTCTGAAGTGATGAGTTTCAGTCCATGCCCTTATTTGTTGTGAAATGTGGAAGCTTTTCTGACCCACAGAGAAACTGACCTGAGACTATAGGGCTGTGTCCCATATGTCTTTGAGATTTTAAAATTGAGCTGGTTAAAGATGTTTTAATATCTTAAAAACCAGTGATGCAGCAGAGATTCTTGATTATTAACATTAAGTAAATCTACCTTTAGTTACTTGTTTTTGAATCTCCTTGTGATAAGTGTCAAGTGGGTTAAATACATATTTGGACAGTAGTGAAGAATTTTTTATATCCAAATTGAGATATCTCACAACTCAGTTTTTTAAAGTAACCTTTCCATATAGCAAATATGAAAATAATACATAATTCATTTTTCTTTGTCTTTTTTTTCATCCAGCCTTACTTGAGGTTAAGAGAGTCAACAGGGAGTTTTGGGTGGATGAGTGATTGGGGAGATTTTAAATTCTCTTACCTTGTTCTTAATATTCCTGGAGAGAGAGCCAGATTTGTTTTCTGATTTAGTAGGGACCAAAACAAAAGGATATTGCTGTTCCATTTTTATTGTGTTTGGATACAGAGATTTCTTTGATTTCACCAGCAAATTTTGTAATGTTTTAAGTAGTAAAAATCGGGTTTGCATCATGAAAATATTTGAAATTGTTGAACATGTTCATTCTGTATTGTTTGTGAATTTCTGCTTATTTCGAGTCAAAGGTTTTGGTGCTTCATCCATAAAGAGACTTTTTAGACATTTGTGTATTTGGGAAGCTTTTCAATGTCTGGTTTAATATACTTTTTAAAATTTAACTGAATCCTTTTTCAGCCACTGGAGCTTCTACTACTGTATATGCAGTTGAAGCTAACGGAGACCCTAGTGGCGACTTTGACCCCGAAAAGGATGAAGGCGAAGTCCAGTACCTCATCAAGTGGAAGGGCTGGTCGTATATCCATAGCACGTGGGAGAGTGAAGAGTCCTTACAGCAGCAGAAAGTGAAGGGCCTAAAAAAACTAGAGAACTTCAAGAAGAAAGAGGATGAAATCAAGCAATGGTACATTATCCATCCTGGATAAAAGAAATACATTTGCAGCCTGGAGGAAGGGAAGGTTTTTAACTAGTCCATGGAGAACACAGCTATCTAGAATATCAAATTCTGCCTTTAGCATCTGAATGAACGTGGAGGCATCCACGATTACGTTTTATGAAACTGTGAGCTGAAGATAGTATATATTTTTGCGTGTAGCCACCAAGTCTGTAGAGTTTAATAATAACTAGCTTATGGAGCATTTTTCGGACATGATCTCATTAATCCTCACAGTAATCCTATGAGATTTGTACTGTTGAACAAAATGTTTTTTGTGGGAAGAGTGAGGTACAGAGCAACTTTGTGAGAGGGCCCAGGATTGGATTTCTGGCAGCCTGAGTCCAAGGCTAACGTACTTAAGCACCTTGTTATTTTCTGTGGTTGTCCTGGGGTAGCTTGGATGTCAGGAGTTAATATTCTAGAACTCTCTGGGTTATGATATACTTAAAACTAATCTTGGTTTTACACAGTTTACAGAAAGGATGTGACAGAGATGTTCTGAAACTGTGATAGCCTGTTGTTTGTAGTTTACTTACAGCTTTGAGCATGTTAGGTTGCATCTGAGACATACGTGGGGTCACAGCATACACACACCTAAACTGACAAAAAGAAGCATAAGTTCCCCCCAAAGACATATGTGTCAGTGTCATGTGATGAGGTTATTTTGTGTTAGGAATAGGGACAAATGGGTTCCAATTCTTGTTTTATTACTCTGCAAAATAGGCTACTTCAGTAAATCAGAAATTTTTTTCTTTGAGTCGAAAACAAAAATATGTATCCCTAAGATATGGGTAGTTTGTAAAGCGATTAGAATTTTAAAAATGCTTGAAAGCTATAGCAGTATTCAATTTCAGGTTGCTGGTGTTGTCGTTTTATAAGTATGAATAACTGGTTTTCTAAAAAAAGCCACATTTAATCACACCTAAAGCCCATACATATTTGAAAAAAGGCAGGTTTTCTTGTAAATCTGGAAGAGTTTTATTGTCCTTGTCTATTAAGATATATGAATTTATCACATGAATTCATCACCCAAAATAGTTTTTTTTGGGTTTCTTTATTAATGGGCCACATCAGAGAGAACAACTGGTGTGTCCTATAAGTCTAAGGTTTTTAGTGTTTTCTATAAGTCTTACCTGTTTTTCTTAAAATCTCTGGCCTAATTATTAGTAAAAGATTATTAAGGGACATATGAAAGTAAAGTTTCCTTTCCTACCTTGACTTTGCATTGATAGATGTATATGGATCCCCCAAATCTAATAAGTGTTTATTTTTTCTGTCTGTCTTCTGTCCAGGTTAGGGAAAGTTTCTCCTGAAGATGTGGAATATTTCAACTGCCAACAAGAGCTGGCCTCAGAGCTGAACAAACAGTATCAGATAGTAGAAAGAGTAATAGGTAAGTACATGGAAACTCATCTAAGCAGTGTTTGAGCTCCAGGAATAATAGAACTTTTTCTTTTGGGAGTAATGTATATATATTGAAAAAATGCGGGACTTCGCTGGTGGCACAGTGGTTAAGACTCTGCGCTCCCAGTGCAGGGGGCCCAGGTTCGATCCCTGATCAGGGAACTAGATCCCACATGCATGCCACAACTAAGGAGCCTGCCTGCCGCAACTAAGATCCAGTGCAACCAAATAAATAAATATTTTTAAAAAATGCCTTTTTGTAGGTATACTTTTGGAGAATAGACAGATGCCTAGATTTATTTTGAAGGAAAAGCTAACAGGCTTTGCCAGTAGATTTGGAGATGGGGGAAAAGAAAGAGGTGGCAAGGATGGTGCCAAGATTCTTGACCTGAGCAAACAGGAGACTAGAGGTACCATTTACTGAAATAGAAAGAATGGAAATCAAGAACTTATTTTGATATTTTTCAGTTTGATATACTTCTCAGTCATCTAAGTGGTAGTATTGTGAAGGCTGTAGCATATATGAGTCTGGAGTTTAGAGCTCAGTCCGGGCTGGAGATTTAAATTTGAGGATATAATCCGTATGTAGATAGTATTTAAAGCCTAAGGTTTAATGAGGTAATCAAGAATGTGTACGTGGTGAGAGTAGAAGTCGGAGGGCATTCTAGCTTTCGGAAGTCAGGAAGAGAAACCAGCACAGGAGAGTGAGAAAGGACAGCCAGTGAGATAGGGGGAGAGCCAGGAGAGGGAGGTGTGCTGGGAGCCAGGTGATTCACGCGGCTCGGGCAGGAGGAGGCGCTGCCAGTCAAAGAGGACTGGGACTTGATCCTTCAGCTTGGCAGCAGGCCTGGCCCTGGGGAGATGGACCCATGAGGTGGTGGGGCTACAGGCCTGATGGGGTGGCTTCAGGGGAGAGTGAGGGGACAGTATGAAGAAAGCTCCCCCGGGGAGCCTTGTTGTAAAGGGGGAACAGAGAGATGGGGTAAGTGCTAGATAGGCTGCTTTTTCTTTTCTTTTTTTAAGATGTGAGATAGAGTATGTCTGTACTCTTATTCATAGGACCTAAAATGTCACCGTTTTCTTGGTTATGGTGATAACTTACCCAGCTTTCCATTTATTTAGCTGTGAAGACGAGCAAATCTACACTGGGTCAAACAGATTTTCCAGGTAAGCAAGACAACTTGTTTATTAAATACTGTTTAGCATTTAAGAGCAGTTCATGTTTTGCAGAATATTTACAGCTTTGCCACATGGTGTTTCCTTGGTTATACATAAAACAGAATGTCACTCCTCTCCTTTAATTGACAGTTGCTGATCTGTAAATTTTTATATGTGAAATAGCTCACAGTCGGAAGCCGGCACCTTCCAACGAACCTGAATATCTATGCAAATGGATGGGACTGCCCTATTCAGAGTGCAGCTGGGAAGATGAAGCCTTGATTGGAAAGAAATTCCAGAGCTGCATCGACAGCTTCCATAGTCGGAACAACTCAAAAACCATCCCAACAAGAGAATGCAAGGTGTGGTGACTGCTGGCTTTTGAATTTTCAGGGGAAAGGTGTATTGCTACAAAGGGTTGGCCACATAGATAGATGTTGGGAAGAGAGAATACTACAAAAGTAAGTGATAATTCCTATTTTGAAGTGAAAGAAAATGACTTAACCTTGACATCAAAGGAAAGTAATTAAAACAAAAGGAGAGGATGAGTTGTATAATGGCTTTGCTGACTTCTTTAATCTTATTTACACAATTAGATATATCTAATATGGAGATATTGTAGAGAATACTGGAAAGAAATAAAGCACTTTAAAGAGGAGTGATGGGAAAGGGGAGTGTCTGAATTCTAGGTTATAAACTAAATATATAGGCTCTTTTATTTGCTAGATGGGTTGTACAGTTCCTTTTCTTTCATTGGAATTCATTCCCTGTGTAAATTGGTATGCTTGGGTCCTCAGTAATGTTTATGTAAGACATGGCCTCTCTCTGCAAGAGGTTGACATTCAAATTCACGGCACCAAACCTCTATCTGTGAAAAGCAGTGTGTAACTGAAGGTCAATGAGTGTGATAAAGACTATTCTAGAAGTAGGAGTCACTGAGCCACAGGGATCATTGAAGTGGCTTTAAAATGAGGAAATTGTGATGCTTGAAGTTCCCTGTCCTTGAAGAATTGACTGGAGCTGGTTAGACAGACAGAAGAGGGCCCAGGTTATTGGCCTCCCATGAAAGATATTAAGAGAAAGATGTTCTTATAGTCAGTAGGAGGACCACCGGACCTCAGGGTAGGAAGAGAGGGAGGTGATACTGGTGAGTCAAAGTGTGTATGTCTTGAATACCTTGGAGAGTATTTGGATTTTATTCTGTGGGTATTCATAAGCCTACCCTCCTGAGCAGAGCAGCAGGCAGGAAACAGTATTTCGTTTAGAAAGATTCATCTAACGGCCATGTGTTGGAGACCAGAGTAAGCAGTTGTTAAAGCCAGAAGCTTCCACCAGGAAGGTGTCGTAGAAGCCTACGGAGGGAGAATTAGTGTGAGGATGGGGGAAGTGGCAGCAGCTGGGGGGTCGGATGGGAGAAGCACTGTGGGGCAGACGTGGCAGAAGTGGACAGCCAGAGGCATCTGATTCCATTTACTGCCAGCTGCTCACAAAGGAGAGCTGCAATTAACAATAATTACCTTATCAAATACGTTATTAGGACGACACTTCTCATAATGGGGCACTATTCCAGAGAGTGCTAATCTTCAGAGAAATGCTCCCTGAAAAAAACACTATTGTGGCCAAATAACTTTGGGAAATATTCCTGAATGAGTTTCTCCTGTAAGTTCACAGCATACACAAGAATGTTGAAAAGTCATGAGCCGTGAAATTTATATAAGTTTTTAATCCATTGTTTCCCAGTGCTATTTAATGATGTTTGCAAACTTACTTCAGGAAAGGAGCAATGACTAAAAATTATTTTGGGATGCAATCTGGCTTTGGGACTGCAGACCACAATGCAAGAGCTCGTGGTGGGTTGGGTGTGGTTGGTGATTCAGATGTGAAATTTAAATTCTTATGCTTTGGTGTAGAGCACAGAAATCATGGCTAGCATTTTAACATAGGAACAGGAGGAAGGTTTTCTTCAAACCTGGGCTTTGTTAAATTTTGCATTTCAGGCCCTGAAGCAGAGACCACGATTTGTGGCTTTAAAGAAACAGCCGGCATATTTAGGAGGAGAGAATCTGGAGCTCCGAGATTATCAGCTAGAAGGTCTCAACTGGCTTGCTCATTCTTGGTGCAAGTAGGTAGAAAAATATGTTTGTTGTTTTCTCTACTGTTTCTGGCTTTTTAAAACTGTTAGGTATAAGGAATTACTTCCTTTTCTTGTACATTATAGAAATAAACAAATTATGTGATTGAAAGGAGCCACTTCTGGGAGTTTTTATGTATGTATAATTACCAGTTTAGTCTGAAGTAAAAAGTACTTTGTTATTTAGTTATTTGGGGGTTAATTTCTCACAGCCAGAGACCTATGTCTTACTATGTTATTTATGAGTATAAATAGCAAGGTAATTTGCCCATATCTTTAGTGGGGAAGGAGTTATTCTCAGAAGAAAGAAGAAAATGTCTTTTTTCCATTCAGTTGTCTTTCTGAGCCAGGAAAACCTTTAGTTTTACATAGTGGTGCTGAAGAGTGATGTGACCCCCACCCCCCCATTGCTGTACAGGCCATCCGTTGTAGAGGAAGTTCTCTGACAGTTGGGCTTGTGAAATTATCCTTTACTTTTTTGTAACAAGATCACCGTAGTCTTGGGAAAAAAAAAGAGAGATGAGACAACGAGGTTTCAAGGTACTTTGAGGCTGTACTCATAAATTTTATTCAACAAATTCAATTGCAAATTCAAGTAGTCCCTAATTACTATGTATTAGGGACCTAGGTAGGCCTGGAGAATTTTTTTTTAAGATTTTATTTATTATTTATTTATTTTTGGCTGTGTTGGGGCTTAGTTGCGGCACGTGGGATCTCTCTTGAGGCATGTGGGATCTTTCGTTGCGGCGTGCGGGCTCTTCGTTGTGGTGCGCAGGCTTCTCTCTAGTTGTGGCATGCGGGTTTTCCCTTCTCTAGTTGTGGCATGTGGGCTCTGTGGTTGTGGTGCTCGGGTTCCAGACCACGCGGGCTCTATAGTTTGCAGCATGCGGGCTCTAGTTGAGGTGCGTGAGCTCAGTAGTTGTGGCGTGCGCGGGTTGCCCCGAGGCATGTGGGATCTTAGTTCCCTGACCAGGGATGGAACCCACATCCCCTGCATTGTAAGGCAGATTCTTTACCACTGGACCACCAGGGAAGTCCCAGGCCTTGAGAATTTAATAGTGAATCAAGACAAGACAGGATTTCCCTGTCTTCATGGAACATACAGTGTGAGAAGTACCTTTAATGTATGTCTCCAGATTCCTTCCCCCACATGTAAACTCTTAATTTCTTCAGTGTTTTATGGCAAAGCAAGAATTCTTATTTCAGAATTAGACTACAGCCTGAAGACAAAAACATGCCAGCTTCTTTTCTCAATGCCGAAAAGATGGTTTTTAAGTTACAGAGGTGCATTTACAATGACTTTCCCAATTGAACCATGTACTACTCTTTGTCTTGTAAAAATTTATGTAATATTTAACGTTCAATATGAGAATCAGAGATCTTGAGGAGATTCAATTTCTGTGACTGAGAATGGAGGTCTGATGTTCTAAATTCCTTGAAAGTTATTTTTGTTTCAGAGAATAGTGAGACCTGATCTTCCTAAAGGACGGTTATAAGCTAGGTGGAGCCTTAAGGAGTTGTGTAACTAACCCTCTTTTTCTGTAGTTGAGGGCTCTTAGGAGCCCTTGTCCAAAGTCACACCATGTAGAGTCCTGAGCCAGCATTTTCTACTTTAAACTGACTAATTCAGAATCAGCTGAAAAGGGCCCAGGCAGCTACTAGGCCCTGGTCATGGGAACCTTGAGTTAAGTAACATGCTGTTTAGGTCTAGTTCCAGAAAAGCAGGCAAATCAATCCAAACTTCCTTTCATGTGTATAAATGGACAGTGGCAGTTTGCTAGGGAGAGGGAATGTTGGAGAAAATTAACCCTGTTTCCTCCCCAGTGGTGTGAAAAGGTGAGAGAAATATGAGGAAAATTACTCAAAGGAATCTCTTCTTGGTGAATTAAATGTCTTGTTTTTCTAATCGATTAAGTTGTCTTTAACTTGAATATTGGTTTTAGTTCTCTCCGGTCCACTGATTAAGCATGTATTATATATGTGTAAACCTCCCATGGCCTGATTTTCAAGAACTTTGTAATATTTTCAAACTTATGGCATACATGCAGTCCTGGTTTCCTGCCAAATGGGCTCTTTTCTATTTCTGGAACATACTTTCCTAACTCTGGCTATTTCTTTCAGTTTAAATTAATTTACTTAAAGGTTTTTTCTTAATATCTTTACAATCCTTTTCTATTAGGATCCTGTTGAAATCCTGCCTCCTGCCTGTCTCCTAGAGCCTTGTTTCTCAAAGTGTGGTCCAAGCCATATACCCATAGCACAATATCCAGAAGTACTTGTTAAACAATACAGATTCTTGAGCCCTTCCCCAGATACTCTGATTCAGTAGGTCTGGGGTGGGATTCAGAGATCTGATCTGAAGCCTACCCCTGCTGTAGAGTAGTGTATTTAAAACAAGCTCTGTGTACCTGCAGCATTTAGGTCTAGGGAGTAGTGTATGTAGCATTAAACAGCCCAGTGGCCTGCAGTGGAATGAGTGGGCACTTTGAAAAAAGGCACATGACTGTCAGCCTGTAGGGTTCATCAGCAGTGGGGATAGCCCATCTGCCCTTGCTTTCTGTACTAATGGAACCCAAGGTCATGTGCTTGCATACACCAATATAACAAAACCTGCCTTCTCTGTTACAGGGGATAGATGTAAAAGACCAAAATGCAAGATAAAGAACATATAGTTTGAATAGGCTCTTGTAGTAATCCAAACCTTGATTATACTTAGATTACTTGTTACTCGACTGTCTTATGTAGGAGAGTTAATTGCAGAGGAGAGGAAAGACATTAGAGGCTCACAACCCATGTCTTGCTTGGTGACACTGTGAAGCATTGATGCCTTTGCTGTTTGTGCACATACTGTTTTTTTGTGAACTAATGATCTTTTTGTTTTTATCTTTTTCTTTCTGCAGAAGTAACAGTGTAATCCTTGCTGATGAAATGGGCCTAGGAAAGACCATCCAGACCATATCATTCCTCTCCTACCTGTTCCACCAACACCAGCTGTATGGCCCCTTTCTTATAGTCGTCCCTTTATCCACCCTCACCTCATGGCAGAGGGAGTTTGAAATCTGGGCACCAGAGATTAACGTAGTGGTTTACATAGGTGACCTGATGAGCAGAAATACGGTGTGTAAACAAAAAGAATTGGGATAGAATCTGTGTTATAAATGTATTTTTGGAAATTGACCTAAAGCCATTATAGTCTTTAGTAAAATTGTGATTCTGACACGGTGCTATGCCCCTGATATTGGGAGATTGATGTATCCCAAAAATACAATTGAGATAGTCTTAAAAACATATGCTTACTTTGTAAAGAACAGCAACAGCAGTACATGAATGGGAATCTCTCTTAGTTGGATTGCAGTATTAAGTTTTTCTTTCCCCTGTACTTTCAAGACCACTTTATTTATAAAGGATTATCAGATAGAGTTAATGCCTTGTGGAATGTTAATATTATTTTTGCTATTTGAGCAGAGAGATATTACTGAAAATAATTGAGTTCTTAGAGTTTGTTTCCTAACCTTTTAAAATAGTGAGGTGGCATAACTTAACAAGAAAGGAATAAAAGGACAGAGCCATTTCAGAGCTGCAGAAAAGAGAATTTCCTGCCTGATATCAAAGTTAACTTGAGCATCAGGAATTTAGAACACATGGGCTTAAGTTTGTCTTTGTCTGGCAAATCTTTTTCTTGATAACAACTTTTTTTAAGGTACTTACTATGTGCCAGGCCCTGTGCTGGGTGCTTTATGTATATTACCTATAATCCTTATGATAATCTTCAAAGTAGATGATATTCTTTCCAATCTCCTGATGAAGAAATTGACTCAGAGAGTTTAACACTTGTCCGCAGGCCAGCTGGAATGTGGCAGAGCTGGGATTGGGACAAAGACACGTCTGGTCCCAGACCTTTGCTTTTTTACCACTGTGTGTATGTTGGAATAAACTGTTTCTAGGGGATTGCTTATAATAAGAGCAAGCCATCAGGAGTCCTCAACGTTTGAGAGAGATGTTACAACCATATATTACCATGCTAATGCAAATTCATTTTTATTAAATATTTTCATTAAAATTTTCTAACCTAAACTCTGGCAGACTTCATTGCTCTAATTTTGAGTTTCTAAGTCTGTAGTAGTTCTTAAGTTTGTTAATCCATTCGTTAACCATTAAAAAAGAAAAAAAGTTCTAGATTGTGCAGAATTGCTTCAAGCACTCACTACTGCATTGAAAGGTGAAGACAAAGAAAGTGAACTCTAAAAAACTGTGGAATCAGGGACATTTTCTTTTCTTTCCAGTACTCCTTTTCTTTGTTCTTCTTCCCACTTTGTGGTGAGTCCCTGCAGCTCTCCTTGACTTGTCCTCCAGTTCTTAACTTGACAACCAAGCTGTAGGAGCTCTTTCACGGGCCATTGTGCTTGCTGGGTGTCCAGTTAAATACATTATATTATACTTCAGTACGAATGTTAGTTTTTGTGTTCCTTTGCGTTGACGTGATTTTCATCCATATTAAATTGTATTTTCATCCTGTAAGCCTCCCTTTCCTTTTTCTTGGGGGCCACATCTTTCTGCTGTATGATTAATGAAATTTCTGACCAAGCCAGAGGTTGGAATTTGTTTTATTTACTAATAAAAGTATGCCCTACCCAAAGAATGATCAAATTGTATTTCCTTAAGAAAGTTCTCATTCTGGGAGATCCCTAGATAAGTTCAAGTTACCAGGGTTTTAATTGCTGATGAAATGCATTTTTGTGGTCAAATATATTGGGGGTGGAGGGGGGCACAGGGAGGTGACAATTTATTTGAATTCTGGCAATAAAGTTTTCGCTGCTCCACGATAGATCTTTTAATTCTAACTCATATTGCTCTATACTTTGGTTGCTTAGGTCAGTTTAGAATGTATAAGGTATTCATCAAATTCTAACCAGATTTAATTTTTATTTGGTATATTTATTGCATCTGTCATAAGACTTGCTGGTGATATAGAAAGGTAAAGGTAGAAATTATATCTTAATGATTGTTTTCTCTTATAGATACGAGAATATGAATGGATTCACTGTCAGACCAAAAGGCTGAAGTTCAATGCACTTATAACAACATATGAGATCCTCTTAAAAGATAAGGTGTGTAATTGGTAACCAAAAGGCTAAATTTTGGAGTGTGACTTGTCCAAATGATGGGGTCTTTGCCTCCCCCTTGCCATGTTACCTTTCTTTTCGTATTTAAAAAAAGCAAACAAATGAACAAACAAAAAAATCCATGAAGAATATTAAGGTTATTAAAAAATAAACAGAACCTTACAGTTGAAGGGGACCTTGGGTCACCTAAGCCAATTGAATTAAATAGGTGAAAGGGTATTGAGGCCAGTACCTTACTGGAGATTCTAGTGAGTCATTGGAAGCTGGTCTTGAGTGCCCTCTCAGGTACTTCCCATCTTATTATTAAGCATTTCTCCAGAACAGATGTTGTGTAAGGGTCTCTAAGGAGGAGGACAGAAAAATGAAGCTCTTAAAATTATCTCCTTCCCACAGTTACTAAGAAATGTATGTGCCAGCTGATCCCAGTGGTGATAATAAGCATAAACAAGTTCAATATGGTGGCTCTTGGTGTTTCTGTGCTTCAAGGTTGGGGTGGAGAATAGGCAGAGAAGAATCTTGATTAAGGAGAGACTGCAAAATCATGTATTTTTTGTTTTTGTGTTGTTTTTGCCCAGCATACCAGTTTTTGTGTTTTTACTTTGAGGCATGCAGCAAAACCTGGCCTAGAAGACCCCCCTATAGCTTTTAGAGGATGACCTGCTCTTTTGAGTAGACACCAATCTGTTAACTAACAGAATAAACAGGAGTCCTGATATACTTTAAGTCAGTGAAGAATGTTTCTATGTATACCTTCGTGATGGTATTTGTACAGAGATAATTAACACTTGAAAGTACTTTTGGGTTCTCTTCTGACCTGGTGGCTCGTTCTGTTTTGTTTTTACTTTAGACTGTGCTGGGCAGTATTAACTGGGCCTTTCTGGGAGTGGACGAAGCCCATCGGTTGAAGAATGATGACTCTTTATTGTATAAAACTCTGATTGATTTCAAGTCCAACCATAGGCTCCTGATTACGGGAACCCCTCTTCAGAATTCCCTCAAAGAGCTCTGGTCCTTGCTGCACTTTATTATGCCGGAGAAGTAAGCTCCTTCCTATGTGTTTCAAAAGATGCTAGAATGTCTGAAATGCCAATGCTCTTTAACTTTTTTAGTAAACCTTAGGGAAAACAGATGGCATGGTTTGGGGAAAGCAAAGCATTGAAGCAGCAACAAAAGTAGTAAAATGTTTCATAACAAATGATAGAAAGCTCAGAAATCAGTTTGTTAAGAAAGAAAGCATACTGTCTACCAAACATTTGAATCATTTAATGCTTTGGGGGAAATAATTGATAAATAGGAAACATCACACCTTCTCCCTGTTGTTATAAGGTGATCAATATAATTGAAAATATACAAGGTACACAATCTGACAAGTATTAAAAAATATCTTAAATCTACCCTTTTGATAACAATAGCACTGGGTTTAGGTCTTATTAATTAAAATCTAACTTAGTAAAGAATTGTGGAATGTCTACTGAAAAGATTTTTGTGGGAAAGATGGTATGCACGTTTCATAAAACTTAAAATTATCCATTGGTGTTCAATGATACTTGAAATGAAATCTAAATTCTTTACCCTGATTTGGAATACTGTACTTAGTCTGACGTATCTCATACCACTTTCTCCATTACTAATTGTGCTCCAGCCATTCTGGCCATCTTTCTGTTCCTTTAACATGCCAAGCATTGCTATTCTTTTTGTCTGGAATGTTCTTTCTCCTCCTTATCTTCATATGGCCAGTCACTTATTAACATCTTTGCCTCAGCTTATATGACCTTTTAGAGGTCTTCTCAGACCACTGAACCTCAAGTTCCTTATCAGACATGCTTATCATCCATACCCCGTTTTATTTTCTATATGGTACCTCTCTCTTTTTCACTTATTTCCTCATTCATACCATGTCATTAATTAAATTATGCATTCAGAAGTAGCAGAGATCTTATTTACTTTATTCATCCGTGCTCCACATTGCCTAGAATGTACCTGGCATGCAGTAAACAGTTAAATTGAGAGTTGTCAAATTGACAGGTAAATGCTCCACAGTTGTTTTTTTTTTTTTAATTTAGAAAAGACTTGAGTGCCTACTGTATGCCATAAACTGAACAAGGCATTTTGGATGGCCTAAGGAACAGTAGAGAAATGGTCTCTTTCTCCATGTGTTACCTTTTTTTAAAAATAGCCTATTGGGATATAATTTACATACCATAAAATGTACCATTGTAAATTAATATTTTTTTCGTAAATTTATAGAATTGTGCAACCATCACCGTTATCTACTTTTAGAATATTTTCCTCACTGAAAAAAGTTCCCTCTCATCTGTTTGTAGTTAATCTCTGCCTCAACTTCTAGCCGTAAGCAATCACGAATCAGCTTTAATCTCTAGAGATTTACCTTTTCTAGAAATTTCATCCAAATTGAATCCTAATAAGTAGTCTTTTGATTTTGGCTGCTTTTATTTAGCATAATAATTTTGAGATTCTCCCATGTTATTAGAGTTTATTAGGAGTTATTTTCTTATTATGGAGTGATATTCCATTGTATGCACATCCAGTCACCAGTTGATGGATGTTTAGATTGCTTCAGTTTTGGGTTATTTTGTCTTTGTGTGGACGTATGACTAGATCTATAGGAGTGAAATTGCCAGGTTGTTCAGAAAGTGTATATTTAACTTAAGAAACTACCGGCTGTTTTCCAAAGAGACTGTACCATTTTATATCCTCAGCATAAATGTTTGAATTTTCTAGTTTGTCTGTATTATCACCAATACTTGGTGTATTGTCAGTCTTTTGGATTCTAGCTCTTCTGGTGGATGTGTAGTGGTATCTCATTGTGTTCTGACTTGCATTTGTATAATGACTAATAATGTTGCACATCTTTTCCTGTGTTCATTAGCCATTTGTATATCTTTGGTGAAATAATCTGTTCAAATCTTTTACCCATTTTTCAATTGGAATTTTTGTCTTCTGAGTTGAAGAGGTTTTTATTTTTTTTTTAAGTAGTCTGTATTGAAGTGCTTTATATTAGACTCAGATCTTCTCTAAGTAAAGGCTGTAATACTTCATTTCTCCAATGCAGGTGGATGCCTTTTATCTTTTGCCTTATTGTACTGGCTAGAACCTCCATGTTGAGTAGAATTGGTGGGAGTAGGATGTTACAGAATTTTTGTTAGGTACCCATTATAAGGTTGAGGAAGTTTTCTTGTAATTCCTAGTGAGTGATGGATTGAGTGTTGGATTTTGTCATGTGCTGTTCTTCTTTACCTGTTGAGGTGACCATGTGGTTTTTGCTCTTTATTCTACCAATATGGTATGTAACATTAGTTCCTTTTTAGATTAAGCCAACCTTTTATTCCTGGGATAAATCCGAGTTGGTCAGAATGTTTAAGATTTATGTTACTTGTTTTTAAAATATTTGATTAGGATTCATCAGTGTTGCCTTGTGAGCTTTAGCTTCTATTTGTGGGAAAATTCTTAATGACTATTTCTGTTCCTAGTTATAGGTCTATTCAGGTTTTCTATTGCATCTTGACTTAGTTTTGTTAATTTGTGTCTTTCTGACAATTTGTTTATTTCATCTAAGTTGTCTAATTTGTTGGCATAAAGCTGTAGTATTTCCTCATAATCCTTTTAATTTTTGAAGGGTCAATACTGATCTAAATAATTTTTTGATTATGGCAATTTTGTGTCTCGTCTCTTGGTCTTTTTAGGTAAAGCTTTTAACAATTTTGGGAATGTTTTCAAAGAAACTAGCTTTGGACGTTATTTTGTTTTTTTCTCTATTTTAGAATTTCATTTATTTCTACTCTCATTTTTATTATTGCCTTCCTTTGTTTTTCATTTAATTTTCTTGTTTTCTTAAGATGGAAGCTTAGATTATTGATTTAAGTCTTTCTTCCTTTTTGCAATATAGGTACTTAAAGGTATAGGTTCCCCCACTGTCCTGCTTTAGCTGCATCCCATAAATGTTGATATCTTGTGTTTTTGTTTTCATTCAATTTCACCTATTTTTGAATATCTCTTTTGATTTTTTCTTTCATGCATGGCAGTTTTTTTTTTGAGAAGTATGTTATTTAATTTCCAAATATTTAATTATTTCCCAAATGATCTGTAGTTAACTTTTATCTTAGAGAATATGCTTTAAATGAATTGTTACTTGTTATATGGTCTAGTATGTTTTCTGTCTTGGAGAATATATTCCATGTGTACTTGAAAAGAATAATGTTTATTCTGCTTTTGTTGGGTAGAATTCTATAAGTGTCCATTAAGTCAACTTGGTTAATAGTCTTCCTTCTGTATCTTTGCTGACTTCATGTCTAGTTGTTCTATCAGTAATTGAGAGTGAAGTATTTTAATATTTAACTACAGTTGTTGAATGACCTACTTCTTTCAGTTCTGTCAGTTTGGGGGTTCTGTTGTTAGGTATGTGCACATTTGTATTTGTTACATATTCCTGATTTATTGACCTTTTTTTCATTATAAAATGTTCCTCTTTATCTTTAGTAATATTTCCTGTTCCTTAGGTCTATTTTGATTTTCTTATAGCTCCTCAGCTCTCTTCTGGTATCTGTTTGCATGGAATACTATTTTCCATTGTTTTACTTTGAACCTGTTTATTTGGGTCTAAAATGTGTCTCTTATAGACAGCATACAGTTGGATCTTCCTTTTTTCTCTAGTTAGACAATCTCTGCCTTTTGGTTGGAGTATTTAGTTCATTCACACTTAATGTAATTATTGATATGGTTGGATTTATGTCTGCTATTTTCCCTCTGTATGTCATATTTCTTTGTTTCTTTCTTACCACCTTCTTTTGTTTCAACAAGTAGTTTTTAGTTTTCCATTTAGATTTTTCTGTTAGTTGATTTTTTAAAGTTTTATTTTGTAGTGGTTGCTCTAAGGTTTTTAGTATATACATCTTATCACAATTTTCTTAAAATTGATACTGATTTAATTTTGGTAAAATATAGGAACTTTTCTGCATCATAGTTCCATTTTCACCTCCTTCCTTGTGTTGTAAACCTAGGGCGTCCGAGCTTCAGTAGTTGTGGCTTGCAGGCTCTAGAGTGCAGGCTCAGTAGTTGTGGCACATGGGCTTAGTTGCTCTGAGGCATGTGGGATCTTCCTGGACCAGGGATCGAACCCATGTCCCCTGCCTTGGAAGGCGGATTCTTAACCACTGTACCACCAGGGAAGTCCCTTCACCTTTATTTATTTATTTATTTATTATTATTATTTTTTTTGCTGTACACGGGCCTCTCACGTGTGTTGTGGCCTCTCCTGTGGCGGAGCACAGGCTCCAGACGTGCAGGCTCAGCGGCCATGGCTCACGGGCCCAGCCGCTCCGCGGCATGTGGGATCCTCCAGGACCGGGGCACGAACCCGCGTCCCCTGCATTGGCAGGCAGACTCTCAACCACTGCGCCACCACGGAAGCCCCCTTCACCTTTATTTTTGAAGGGTAGTTTAAGACTCTTCAGAAGATGGATAGAGAAACTTGACCACTCTGATTATGCATATGCTCACTATAGCTGTTAGTAGAACAGGCCTAGATTGTTTCCTTTTTTGCAGGTATCCTCACTATAGTATGCTTCTGAGAGAGGAGGCCCCTCTGCACCCCTGCTCCCTATGCCTTCCCTTAGAACAGGGTTTCTCAACCTTAGCACTATTGACATTTTGGGCTGGATAATTCTTTTTTACAGTGGGGGCTCTCCTTTGCATTATATGATGTTTGACAGCATCCTTGTCCACTACCCACTACATGCCAGGAATGACTCAGTTGGGACAACCAAAAATGTCTTGCAGCATTGCCAAGTGTGCCCCAGAGGGGCAAAATTACCACCAGTTGAGAAGCACTACGTGAGCGGGTTCCTCAGGTCTTCCCACATTGCTCATTCTGTCATCCTCCACCCTCCCCACCCTGTCTCACTGCTAATCTTTTGCCTGTCCTGTTGCCTGCTCACCTGGATCCTCTGTTCCTTCCATAGAGCTCTGTTAAGTCAACAGTAATCACCTTTCTGAGGAGGGAGGCAGTTGCCCCCTTCTCTTTTTGAACATTGTATCCATTCTGTAATGAATACCCTGTCCATCATGTATTAGCAGAAGCCCATGTTTTTATAAAGTGTGCTTTTCAAAGGTTATATGTGCTGTAAAACAGATAATGTATAAAATTTAGAGACAGTGGGGGTATCAATTATTAGTTATTAATCTTTGTTTTCTGAAATGGATGAGAATTTTCATGTATATTACTTTATAGTTTTTATATTGTTTTCTTATATCTAATTTTTGATACACTCTATACGTTTAGCCTCAGATTGTAATAAGAATATGCTATCGTAGAGAGATGATGAAAATGTGTCTCATATCACACGGTTAAAAAGTGGGTGGGCTGAGTTCAGTTTCTGGTCTTCTGTGACCGAGGCCAATGTCCTTTAAACTTCAAATTCCAGGAGAAATACTGCATCCTTCATAGCACCATTGAGATGAAGTAAAAGCATTCTACATAGTAGGGATCTTGAGGCACTGTGGGAACATATGTGCTTGATATTTAGAAAAAGAAATGTGATGCCTAATTTCCTCCAATGAATGATTAGCTAAGATTTGCCCTTCTGTACTTGGCTACTGAAGTGGATGGTAGGGATTTTGGCTCCTAAATGGCCATAATTAATTTTTTGTTGCTGTTAAGCACCTGTGGCATTCCACCCAGCATGGGCTACGTTTTGGAAAGAGAGGAACTTTGAATTACTTTTTCCATTAGAGATGATCCTTCAGATAGTGTCTGCCGTTTTCCATATGGCCAGTTGGATTACTTATTGAAGGATGGATTGGGGTTAGAGATGCACTGTGTGTGTGTGTGTGTGTGTGTAAGAGAGGCTTTTCTCTTTGCAAACTTTGTTTTTAAAACATTATTATTTTCAAACATTTTTAAAAAAACATTATTTTTCACAAAGATGCGTGTATAAGAAGGAAACCCATTAGTTAAGGAGTGGAGATTTTCCTTTATTTCTGCCTGAGCTTACTGTGTGGATGACAAATCCTGTGAAGTATTTTCCCCACCCTTAGTGGTAGTTGCTGAGGTTCATGATGGCTCTATACAACCATTTGTTCCTTTTAAGGAAATGATCTACTGAAGAATTGTTATTGTACAGAAGAGAATTAGGTTTGCTCAGGTAACTTCTGGACTCTCCCCTCCTCAACTGTGATAGGCCATTGTTCTCAACATCCAAAAGTTAGTCGTCTTTTTAACCAACTACAGTGCTGTTTCCTTTGTGCAGAGTCAGTCTGAGCACCTTTCCTGCATGGCGGCTCTGGCCAGGAGCCTACCCTTACTGTATGTTATTAGTACCCTTATTATAGGTATATATCAGTGAGCCACTTTGTTTTGTATGTAGTATTTTGCAAAGCATGGAGCTTGGTATTAAAGATAGAGCTATGACTACATCAAAGAGTTCAGCTTATAAAGATAATCATGTGCAAATATGTACTTCATGCCCACCCTACAAAATAACTCGGTTTGATAATTTTCAGAGATCTTACCTCTTAGTGTTGAAATCTTTTTTACTTTTGCTTCTGCTGTCCAGGCCAGTCTGTGAATTTTTTTGCACTTTTCCTTTCACATATTTATCTCATGACTTCTAGTATAACATTCTCACTGCTTTGATTTAATTTTTTTCTTTGTTATTCCTCAGTAGAGTGAGCTTCTATTTTTCTAAAATCCCAAGGTCTGGAAAATTTAAATAATCAAAATTGTTTCTACTTTGGTGAGAGACATGTTAAATACAGAAGTTGATTAACAGGGAAATAACTAAAATAATGACTCTCTAGGCTGTGGTGTGGTATCATTATAAGTTCACCACGATGACCATATACCTTTTATATATGTGGTGTTATAAATTGACAGTTGTCTATTGCAGGGAACATCAAACTTTTTCTTAAAGGACCTGGCAGTAAACATTTTCAGCTTGTAGGCATTATGGTCTCTGTCACAGCTACTCATCTAGTGTATAGACAGAAAGCAACCACAGGTAGTTCATAAACAATTCAATGTGTATATAAAGAAATAGTATCTCATATTAACTCCTTTAATGTCGTAAGAGTACACTAAGTGGGTGAAAATATTTGTTCCCTAAAACAGTAGGGGAAGTAAGTCTTGTAAAAATAAAAGTTTATTATTTAAGTTTTTAGACTAGTAAAGTTTTAATTAATTATAATATGTGTTACATAAATTAAAACATTCTCTTGAAATTATCTCCCAGTTCTTCAGAAAATGGCCTGATATATAGTGATGGTCCCTCATTTCCAGTTGCCTCATACATTTTGTGTGTGAGATGGTATTAAGGTAGCTTAGTTTACATTGTTCCTTTTAATCCTCTTATCAGTTTTAACTCCTCATTTTATTTTATGTTCTTAGAGTATCTTCATAGCAGTGTGGCAAAATACAGTTTACTTTAGTTTTGTTGAGCTAGAAGCATTAATTATGTTTTTAGATCTCTACCCCAAAAGATCGTTTTGTCTGCTTCTCCGAACATGGTTGTTTCAGGCATTACCAGCTGTCACTAGGGCTGATACTGATGCCCCTAGTGCCTGATGAAATGCTTGGCCATTCAGGAGTTCAGAAATGACAATGGCAGCAGACTCTCTTGACATCCTTTAGCCCGGTGACAGTGTTGGCATTTGCTGTCTTTGACTTTCTGTCTTATCAGAGAGCGTATTACATAGCTCTTGGTAATGTCGAGTCACTGAGTTTATTATTCTGGGACTTCACTGGCCTCAGCAGAGCTGGGCCTCCTGGTGTCAGAAAGCAGACCATGGGGCAGCGCCTCACCCACTGGGCTTCAGTCTGCACATAAAACTAAACGACTTCTTCCAAGTGCTTTGCTGGCTTTCTAGTAGCAAGTCAGAGCATATTTTCCTAAGCCTCATGAAATAAATTTCTTTCAATTTTTATTTTTGAAAGAAATTTGATCATAATGTCCCATACTGGATTTCTGCCACAAATCCTTTAGTGAACCAAAGATGGTTAAATTAAGATTTAAACAGGAGAAACTATCTGTAGAGTTCAGGCAAAATTATTACGGGTGATAACATTTTAAAATTCATTAATAAATTTTGTGTCCCCAAGTTCTGTTAGTATTAAGTTGTATCACTTATATTGCTCTTCTTGTCTGGGGGCTGTCACTTGTTTCCTGTCACTATCCATTAACTTTTTAATCCATGAGCAGTGAGGATTACTGATGGAAGCTGTATAACTTTTACCTCTGACTAGTGATAGCTGTAATATCACCACTAATTATTCTTTGACCTCTGAATTTTGTTTTCCCAGTAAATTGCAGCTTATTAAAAGATACCTTATGATTAATTTTTCTGCCTAACATTTTATCACAGTAACTTACTGTGTTACTTACATACTACTTGCGTGATATACTGAAATATTTTGTGAACTCTAGATCCAGTCTCAGAATTGGAAACCTGCTGTTATCTAGTGTAGACTGATGGAATTAATTCAGTTGGTTTTCCCTTGCCTTTTTGTTTTCCCCTCTCTTGTATTCAAGAGCTAGTGACTGATAAAATTTATTTTTCCTTATAGGGAAGACTCCTTTTTTTTTAACAGATTTTTTTTCCTATTTGGTTCCTTAAAAAAGAAATTTTAGTTGGAAAAATGCTTTTTTTTCTTCTTTGTAATTAAGTAACACTATACTATGTCATCTCTAGGTTTGAGTTCTGGGAAGATTTTGAGGAAGACCATGGGAAAGGGAGAGAGAATGGCTATCAGAGTCTTCATAAGGTGCTAGAGCCTTTCCTTCTCCGGAGAGTGAAAAAAGATGTGGAGAAATCCCTTCCTGCCAAAGTGGAACAGATTCTCAGGGTGGAGATGTCAGCCCTTCAGAAACAGTATTACAAGTAAGTTATTGGCTGGGTTAAGCCTGAGTGGGATTAAGATCAGTACCAGGGGTACTTCCCTGGTGGTGCAATGGTTAAGAATCCGCCTGCCAATGCAGAGGACACAGGTTCGATCTCTGGTCCGGGAAGATCCCACATGCTGTGAAGCAACTAACCCTGCGAGCCACAACTACTGAAGCCTGTGCGCCCTAGAGCCCGTGCTCCACAACAAGAGAAGCCACCGCAATGAGAAACCCATGCACCACAGTGAGGAGTAGCCCCCACTCGCCACAACTAGAGAAAGACCAAATGCAGCAGTGAAGACCCAGCGCAGCCAAAAATAAATAAATAAAATAAATACATTTTTTGTTTTAAAAAAGAGCTCAGTGCCAGGGGGCTCCCCTGGTGGCGCAGTGGTTAAAAATCTGCCTGCCAATGCAGGGAACATGGGTTCAAGCCCTGGTCTAGGAAGATCCCACATGCAACGGAGCAACTAAGCCCGTGCGCCACAACTACTAAGCCTGTGCTCTAGAGCCTGCAAGCCACAACTACTCAGCCCACGTGCCACAACTACTGAAGCCCGCACGCCCAGAGCCTGTGCTCCGCAGCAAGAGAAGCCACTGCAATGAGAAGCCCGCTTACTGCAACGAGTATCCCCTGCTCGCCGCAACTAGAGAAAGCCTGCGCGCAGCAACAAAGACCCAACGCAGCCAAAAATAAATAATAATAAATAAAAAAATAAATTTCAATGAATGAATAAATAAATAATATAATATAATGTAATATATGTTATTGAATATTTTAAAGGTGATTATTGTAATGGGGTAAGAACAGAGCAGGATAAGGGGGGTTGGGAGTATGGGGCAAATGACCAGTTTTATTTATTTATTTATTTTGCGCCACCAGGGAAGCCCCCAGTTTTAATTTTAAGTGGGGCGTTGAGAGCAGGTTTCCGAGAGGAGGTGACATCTGTACCAGGAAGATGAGATATATAACCGACAAATAAACTGCCTTTTCCAGTGAAGCCTCAAGACAGATTTAAGTAGCAATTTATTTGTGGTCAGAAAGAGGAAGATTTACTGTTCTTTCTTTTTTAGGTGAGAATTTACACAGTACTTTTCATTATCTTAGTGGTCTGAAATATATGTTCTTAGGCTTATCCCCCTACTAATAAACAGGCATGTTTTACTCACTCATATATTTCTTCTCTGCCATTCATTCAGTCATTTGCTTCAAGTTCTGCAACATGCCAGGCATTTTGCTAGATACTGTAAATATGAACATGAATGGAATGTGTTCCTGCCAGAAGCCTGTTGTTTAGTAGAGAAGACAGACTAGAGACAAATAATACAAAGTGTTGTTTATAACTGAGGCATATGCAGGGGAGTGTGGAAGTTCAGAATGAAAAGCACTCACGTCTGTACCAAAGGGTGAAGACTCTCTTCTTCTAGCACTCCAAGTGGCATGGGCAGGTTATGGACTTGGTTTAGGTTATAATATGTTAAAGGTAAAATGGTGGGTTTGAGACAGAGGGTGGTATATAAGGTACTTGTCACGGGCTTTCAGTTTTGATGATTTAAAGTTGGATCTGGAATGATTGGAAATAATTGTATTGCCATGAAAATTACAGTCTTTTAAAGTTAGAGGTCTTGTAATCTTTCTAATGATACTCCTTGCTTTTTTTTTTTTTTTTAACATCGTTACTGGAGTATAATTGCTTTATAATGTTGTGTTAGTTGCTGCTGTATAACAAAGTGAATCAGCTGTATGTATACATACATCCCCATATCCCCTCCCTCTTGCGTCTCCCTCCCACCCTCCCTATCCCACCACTCTAGGTGGTCACAAAGCACTGAGCTGATCTCCCTGTGCTATGCGGCTGCTGCCCCATAGCTATCTATTTTACATTTGGTGGTGTATGTATGTCCAAGTCACTCTCTCACTTTGTCCCAGCTTACCCTTCCCCCTTCCCATGTCCTGAAGTCCATTCTCTACGTCTGCGTCTTTAGTCCTGTCTTACCCCTAGGTTCTTCATGACATTTTTTTTTTCTTAAATTCCATATATATGTGTTAGCATACAGTATTTGTCTTTCTTTTTCTGACTTCACTCTGTATGACAGACTCTAGGTCTATCCACCTCATTACAAATAGCTCAATTTCGTTTCTTTTTATGGCTGAGTAATATTCCACTGTATATATGTGCCACATCTTCTTTATCCATTCATCCGATAATGGACACCATCTCCAGGCTATTGTATATAGAGCTGCAATGAACATTTTGGTACATGACTTTTTGAATTACGGTTTTCTCAGGGTATATGCCCAGTAGTGGGATTGCTGGGGCATATGGTAGTTCTATTAGTAGTTTTTTAAGGAACCTGCATACTGTTCTCCATAGTGGCTGTACCAATTCACATTCCCACCAGCAGTGCAAGAGTGTTCCCTTTTCTCCACACCCTCTCCAGCATTTATTGTTTCTAGATTTTTTGATGATGGCCATTCTGACTGGTGTGAGATGATATCTCATTGTAGTTTTGATTTGCATTTCTCTAATGATTAATGATGTTGAGCATTCTTTCATGTGTTTGTTGGCAGTCTGTATATCTTCTTTGGAGAAATGTCTATTTAGGTCTTCTGCCCATTTTTGGATTGGGTTGTTTATTTTTTTGTTATTGAGCTGCATGAGCTGCCTGTAAATTTTAGAGATTAATCCTTTGTCAGTTGATTCATTTGCAAATATTTTCTCCCATTCTGAGGGCTGTCTTTTGGTCTTGTTTATGGTTTCCTTTGCTGTGCAAAAGCTTTGAAGTTTCATTAGGTCCCATTTGTTTATTTTTGTTTTTATCTCCATTACTCTAGGAGATGGGTCAAGAAGGATCTTGCTGTGATTTATGTCATAGAGTGTTCTGCCTATGTTTTCCTCTAAGAGTTTGATAGTTTCTGGCCTTACATTTAGGTCTTTAATCCATTTTGAGCTTATTTTTGTGTATGGTGTTAGGGAGTGATCTAATCTCATACTTTTACATGTACCTATCCAATTTTCCCAGCACCACTTATTGAAGAGGCTGTCCTTTCTCCACTGTATATTCCTGCCACCTTTATCAAAGATAAGGTGACCATATGTGCATGGGTTTATCTCTGGGCTTTCTATCCTATTCCATTGATCTATCTTTCTGTTTTTGTGCCAGTACCATACTGTCTTGATTACTGTAGCTTTGTAGTATAGTCTGAAGTCAGGGAGCCTGATTCCTCCAGCTCCGTTTTTCGTTCCCAAGATTGCTTTGGCTCTTCGGGGTCTTTTGTGTTTCCATACAAATTGTGAAATTTTTTGTTCTAATTCTGTGAAAAATGCCAGTGGTAGTTTGAAAGGGATTGCATTGAATCTGTAGATTGCTCTGGGTAATAGAGTCATTTTCACAATGCTGATTCTTCCAATCCAAGAACATGGTATATCTCTCTGTCTATTTGTATCATCTTTAATTTCTTTCATCAGTGTCTTATAATTTTCTGCATACAGGTCTTTTGTCTCCTTAATTTTGTATCCTGCTGCTTTAATTAATTTAATTTTGTATCCTGCTGCTTTACTAAATTCATTGATTAGCTCTAGTAGTTTTCTGGTGGCATCTTTAGGATTCTCTATGTATAGTGTCATGTCATCTGCAAACAGTGACAGCTTTACTTCTTCTTTTCCGATTTGGATTCCTTTTATTTCCTTTTCTTCTCTGATTGCTGTGGCTAAAACTTCCAAAACTCTGTTGAATAAGCGTGGTGAGAGTGGGCAGCCTTGTCTTGTTCCTGATCTTAGTGGAAATGCTTTCAGTTTTTCACCATTGAGGACAATGTTGGCTGTGGGTTTGTCATATATGGTCTTTATTATGTTGAGGAAAGTTCCCTCTGTGCCTACTTTCTGCAGGGTTTTTATCATAACTGGGTGTTGAATTTTGTCGAAAGCTTTCTCTGCATCTATTGAGATGATCATATGGTTTTTCTCCTTCAATTTGTTAATATGGTTTATCACATTGATTGATTTGCCTATATTGAAGAATCCTTGCATTCCTGGAATAAACCCCACTTGATCATGGTGTATGATCCTTTTAATGTGCTGTTGGATTCTGTTTGCTAGTATTTTGTTGAGGATTTTTGCATCTGTGTTCATCAGTGATATTGGCCTGTAGTTTTCTTCCTTTGTGACATCCTTGTCTGGTTTTGGTATCAGGGTGATGGTCGCCTCGTAGAATGAATTTGGGAGTATCCCTGCCTCTGCTATATTTTGGAAGAGTTTGAGAAGGATAGGTGTTAGCTCTTCTCTAAATGTTTGATAGAATTCGCCTGTGAAGCCATCTGGTCCTGGACTTTTGTTTGTTGGAAGATTTTTAATCACAGTTTCAATTTCAGTGCTTGTGATTGGTCTGTTCATATTTTCTGTTTCTTCCTGATTCAGTCTTGGTAGTTTGTGCATTTCTAAGATTTTGTCCATTTCTTCCAGATTGTCCATTTTATTGGCATAGAGTTGCTTGTAGTAATCCCTCATGATTTTTTGTATTTCTGCAGTGTCAGTTGTTACTTCTCCTTTTTCATTTCTAATTCCATTGATTTGAGTCTTCTCCCTTTTTTTCTTGATGAGTCTGGCTAATGGTTTATCAATTTTATCTTCTCAAAGAACCACCTTTTAGTTTTATTGATCTTTGCTATCGTTTTCTTTTCTTGTTCATTTATTTCTGATCTGATTTTTATGATTTCTTTCCTTTTGTTAACTTTTTTTTTTTTCTTCTTTCTCTAATTGCTTTAGGTGCAGGGTTAGGTTGTTTATTCAAGATGTTTCCTGTTTCTTCAGGTAGGATTGTATTGCTATAAACTTCCCTCTTAGAACTGCTTTTGCTGCATCCCATAGGTTTTGGGTGGTCGTGTCTCCATTGTCATTTGTTTCTAGGTATTTTTTGATTTCCTCTTTGATTTCTTCAGTGATCATTTTGTTATTAAGTAGTGTATTGTTTAGCCTCCATGTGTTTGTATTTTTTACA